GAACAAGTTCAAGCCGAATTGGATAAAATGCGATGTCGTGACATCATTATGACCATCGAAGAAAGCCCTTGGCGGTCACCAATTCTGGCTGTAAAGAAGAAGGACGGAACATGTCGCGTGTGCTTGGACGCGAGAGAGCTGAATAAAATTACCATTCCAAATGCCTATCCAATTACGGATACTAACCAAATTTTAGCACGACTAAAGTCAGCTAAATACCTAACCAGTATTGATCTGTCTCAAGCTTTCTTTCAAATTCCTTTGGCAAAATCGAGTCAACTGAAAACCGCTTTTGCATTCGGTAACAGACTTTATGCTTTTCGTCGCATGACGATGGAGTTGAGAAATTCACCCGCCGCATTAGCCATTCTCATTGATAAAATTTTCCGTGATTTGGTTCCACATGCATTCGCATATGTGGATGATTTCATAATTTGCACTTCGACGTTTGAAGAACACGCTAAGATATTGGCTATTGTTGCAAAACGTCTGGCTGGGGCCGGCTTAACCATCTCAACATCCAAATCGAATTTTTGTTGTAAACGATTGGAATTCCTGGATTACGTTTTGTCTCAAGAGGGTCTATCTGCGAAACCATCTCGTATTCGAGGTATTGTTGAATTTGCACGGCCCAAAACGGCAAAAGAAGTCAGACGGTTCGTTGGTGCAGCGGGCTGGTACCGAAAATTTATTGAACATTTTTCGGAGATCACAGCTCCCCTTAGTGAATTGTATAAAGCAAACCGAAAAGGACCCATTGAATGGAATACCGCTGCTGAACAAGCCTTTCTCAAAGAGTGTTTAACTACCACTCCTATTCTGACTATGGCCGATTATTCAAAACCATTCAAGGTTTATACCGATGCCTCGCTTATCGCAGCGAGTGCTGTTCTAGTACAAGAACATGATGGGAATGAACGCGTGGTTCAGTATTTTTCTAAAAAATTCTCGAAAGCCGAACAAAATTACACAGCATCCAAACGGGAATGCCTAGCCGTTCTCTTAGCGGTCGAAAAGTTCCGTCCATATTTTGAGGGTCGTGAATTGGTTGTGGTAACGGACCATGCAGCTTTGCGCTGCCTACAAACTCTCAAAGAACCAACTGGACGTTTATGCCGTTGGGCGATCCGATTATCACCATACGATCTCAAAATTATTCATAAACCAGGAAAACATTTAGATCTTCCTGACGCCTTGTCTCGTTCTTTTGCTCTACTCAACATCGTTCGTAGAAATCCAATTGACCTTCCGAGTAATTTTCACGTTAATCGTACCCCAATCACATCCGTGACCAACATTGACCCAAACACGTGCGATAAATGGTACAACAAAATGCATGCCATGGCCTCAAAACAACCATTATATAGATATAAAATCGAGAACAACCTCCTGTATCATCGATTGAAATTTTCCAATCAAAGTGCGGAAATACTGTGGACACTTTGTGTACCATCTTCTGACAGAGAAAAAGTCCTCGATGAAAATCATAACCAACATTCGCATCAGGGTGTTTGGAAAAGTTATAGACGTATCTCACAACGCTATTACTGACCAAATATGTATGAGTCTGTTTACCAGTACGTTCGGCAATGTGAACTATGCCACCGCATTAACCCAAGTAATGAGAGCACCAAAACACCTCACGGCGAATATAGAGACCCACAACGACCGGGTAGACAATTATCGATTGACTTCGTCGGAAAGCTGCCCATGTCTAAAAATCGTAACCAATGGATCTTCGTAGCCATCGACTGTTACTCGCGGTATGTCTGGGCGCAGCCCAGGAAAAACGCAAACGCCATATCCGTAGTCAATTATCTTCGACATATGTTCTCGGTGAATGGCTGCCCCGAACTCATTATATCAGATAATGGTACTCAATTCATCAGTCAAACTTTCGCAAAGCTTTGTGCCGATTATAATATCAAACACATGAAAACGCCTTTGTACCATCCACAAGCCAATCAGGTAGAGGCGACAAACAAAAGCATTAAACTTGGATTACGTGCTCACATGGCTGATCTTCTTGAACATTCCTCCTGGGAAAACTATCTTTCTCGTATTATTCATGATATTAAAACTTCAGTGCATTCAGCCATGGGCTACACGCCATATTTCCTACACACCGGTCGTGAATATGTGAAAGATGGAAACGAATATAAATTATTATTGGATGTAAATCCATACCATACCCAGAAGGTGGAAAAACGTAAAGTTCTGGCTGATGAAATTCGAGACAAACAGTTCGAACAATATCAACAAACCGCACAACGGGCATTGACCCGCAAAAGAGAACGACATTTCGAGATAGGCCCGGAAGTGTACATTCCCAATCCTAAACAGTCCGTGGCCGGAGAGGGCTATGCACAAAAACTAGCCCCACCAAAAATTAGAGCCTATGTTTCACGGAAACATGGTTCGAATTCATATGAACTGATCGATGATAAACACCGAATGCTTGGCAATTATTCCGCCGATTTAATCACAACACGTTAACTCATTCAGTATATTCGCCTTCACAAGAATTTCGATGAATATATGGCGGGCCTCCATATTCCATTGATTCTGCCATATTGAAATAATAATTACGTTTGTAAATGAAATGAATTACTGAATAAATTAATTAATAATAAATAGTTTTGTTATATCCATAGTTTTGTTATATTATATCCTCAGTACATTGCTAGTAAATCGATCAAAGCAAACAAGAAAAGATTCATAACTAAATCATTTACCAAGGCCTTTCATCTACCGTAGCTTACGTAATGCGTACTGAAACTAAATAGGAAAGACGAAGTAAGGCGCCATGAGAGCTCATTTGGATGGTTGGCGTAGGCAAGACGGCGCAGTTCATTTGTTGCAGAAGTCGTTTGACTTGTTGCTGAAAGCCATTTGACTTGTTGCTGAAAGCACGACGAATGGGTAATGTATCGTCTCGTATGTATGTATGTATTTATTGCGCGTCTACCATTCAATTGCTTTACCCACCGATGGCGCCAAGAGCGTGTTGGCAGGCTAGTTGTGAGGAATAAGCATACGTACATATGTACATCAATCAATGCTTCATTTCAAACAAGCAAATGTCCTTGAATTGTTTTTGAACTACAGTATCATGACTTCGGCAAACCCATCAAACATGACTTCGGCAAACCCATCAAACATGCCTTCAGCAACAAATCAAACTCGGCGCTATGACTTCTGCAACAAATCAATTCTATGGCGTGCCTCCGCTAACTGAGCCGTCTTGCCTTCACCAACCGCTTAAATGAGCTATCATGCTTTCGGCACTGTTCAAATGAGCTCTAAAGCTTTCGGCAACCGTTCAAATACGGCATATTGTATTGAAAATGGGCGAAATGGGCCATTTCCCATATAACGGTAGTTTCAAGAACTACGAAAACTGCGATATTTTAGTAAATACTGAAGCTTATTCATTGAAAATTAATATTTATAATGATTTTTAGACGTAAAATAAGAAGTTTATAAATTTTTGGAAAATGGGCGTAGCCACGCCCACTTATGATTATATATATATATATATATATCTTAGTAATCGCTTCACCAATTTCTCTCAAATTTGGCACAATTGTTAGCCTCGGTACAACATACCAAAAGCCTGAAAATTTTTAAAATCGGACAATAACCACGCCCACACCCCATATAACGGTAATTTAGAGAAATACGAAATCTTCAATAAATCAGTAAATACAGAAGCTGATTTATTCAAAATTGATGTTTGCAATAATTCCTTAGCAAAAAATACGCTTATAATAAAATTTTGGAAGATGGGCGTGACCCCGCCCACTTATGACCAAATATCTGTATCTCGCTAACCGTTCGATCAATTTGTACCAAACTCGGTACGATTATTGTGCTTGCCACATAAAGACAAAACATTCATACAACGGTAAATTTCAGAAATTCTTGAAACTTCGATATTTCGAATTTTAAGGACGGTAATTTACTCAAAATTGATACTAACAACAATCCCTTGAAAAAAAGTAACATTATTATAGAATTTTGGAAAGTAGGCGTGATACCGCCCACATCTAACTATACACTAACTTTATCTCATTAAGTATAACTGAACATACCATCGAAATTGTTAAAAATAGGGTTAAACCACTCTTCTTACCATGTAACGGCAGTTTTCAGAAAGGTGAAAAACTATGTTTAATACTTGCGTCGGGTATTTAATGTTCGGCTCCCCCTGAACTTAGACTTTATACTTGTTTAAGGTTCATTATTTTGATATAAAAGTATAGCTCTTTATCTAACAAATAAATTTCAGGCTTTGTAAAAAATTTAAATAATTCCACAAACTTTTCATCCCAATTCAGTTTTGTAGCTTATTAAATTGTAGTATAATAAAGTGCAAGTTTGAAGCTGCCAATGGTATTTGTTAGATAAAAATAAAGAACCTTTCCCTAATTTTTTCGAGAAATGAAAAAAATTTTGTGTTTTCCGAAAGCAAAGCAAGCCTATTCGAGGGGAAGTGGTTAGTTTCTGCTGGAAAGATTTTGTCAGCAAGAAAACAGCTGATCAAAAACAGCTGGTTGGAATTTACACAAATCACAAAATTGTGTTTGATGGTTTGGAAGTTCAAAATGATAAAATAAGACTAATTAAACTTGCAAGAAGTAAGTAATTATTCGGTTAGTTAATAAACTGGTTCCGGATAACACTTTGTGACCAGTTTCCTTACGTTTTCAATTTTACACATTTGAATATAACAAAAGTTCTGTCAGCTGCTCGTCTAACTTGCAAGTTTCTGCGAATTTTCTGTTCGCGTACTATTCTGGATATTTTTCTCTTGTTAGATAACAGATGATATTTCGACCGAATTTTTCTGCTAGATATTTTTTTACTGGATATTTTAAACGAACGTAGGTTTATATGGCTTTCATACATTTAAATGCGTAATATTTTTATTTATTCAACATTTTTTATTCAGTCTCATATGAACTTGTATTAACATATTTATTGTATACCTATTACAGAAGTAGTCTCGGTTCAAAATACGGTCTCTATATCGCCGTCATCATCGAAATCCTCTACCACGATGACAGATACCGTTAAAGATGTTGCCACTCCTCGATTAATATCATCGCACAATGAAAATCAATTTCAATCCGCAAGCAGCATACCACAAACCAAAATGGCTGGATATCCTAAGCAAACAGTTTTCCAGAAAGAAGGCAAACTATTTATTATTGATCCCTTACAAATGAAACTTAAGCAAGAACGAGGGAAACAGGTATCTCTGTTAAAACCACAATCTCATATGCAGAGACAACGTCAGCAAGAGGCGCACAAACAAAAAATGCAATTGAAAGCGTTTCGAAGTATTATATCAGATCACGATTATACTCTATCGCTTAATTTAAAGAACGGTGACGCACCGGTACCTCGAGAAATGGGAGCACGTATACCAGAACGGGGAACAGACACTATGGAAAGCAACGCTTTCGAGCTTCTGCAACAACGCCGAATTCAGTTCGAAAAAAGAGTTTTTGGCACAAAATGTCCCGAGCATGCGCTCCGCTGTGGATTATATATTACGTCGCTTGCCACTGATTGCTATGAAAAAGACTTTGGCTGCCGCCTTTTCTTTTGTGCATCATAGTTTTGAGGAATTCGATGCGCTTCCTGTTTTAAAACAGCGTTCGTGTGAATGGCTCCGGGCTAAATATATTACACGGTTTGTACGCAATCACAAACAATTTCAAGGATTATATTCCAAAAGCAGAGAACGGTTTTGGAGTACGCGCGAAGTGCTAGTTTATGCCCGACATCATGTATTCGCCCCCAAAATGAAATCATTTGACGGTGCGTGGTGCTTACTGCAACCTCAAACACTCAATTTTTCAGCACGAGGGAACCCTCCACAAGAACTAAGATGCATTGAGCCTAATAAATATTATTATCAGCAGGGGCAAGAGTTTTCGCAGTTTGTAAAGAAGGAAGTTAGATTCGAACAGGAGTCTTTTAAGTACGAATCTGTAACTCATATATATCGTATTACATCGTGGATAGATGAAATATGGCAAACATTTTTGGTCCTTGAAGCGAATGCAAAACACACTGCTTGGACAATTGATGTTGTTAGTATACCAGAATCCAGAAGTCGTAAAGCTACTCATATCGCTAGCCTGCAATTAAAGCATACAGACAGATGTAGAAAGAAGCAGCAATTATATATACCGATACCGGAGCATCTTGAAGAGTACTCACTTCTCGTAAGTGAAATTTGTCGGGATCTTGAAATACAACTTCAATCGGAGCAAGTTGAAAACGACGTACTTTTCCCCTTGGCGCAAGCAGTTATTACACACTGTTTAAAAATGTTCATTGAAAAGTTATTGAGACACACAGTCGCCTCAAAACATAACCATACAATCACAGGAATCTTAGATATTACAACACAGGATATTGGTAAAGTTTTGATTCGGAATTCGGAGTTTGATTTTTTAACCAACAAGCATTTTGGAACATACAAGTACGATAGTGAAAACGTAAAATGAGTGGCTTTAAGTGTAATTCTAATCTAGGAGATTGTTTAATATACATATTCATAAGGAAAAAGTACATTAAAGATCAAGTTACTATTGCCTGAAAGTCGATATTTCTTATGTACACTGTATTTGACTTACGGACGTTTTTGTTTATATTGAGACAGTTTTTCTGTCATATCAAAAATTACACGGTGTTACAAAAAAAAAAAAATCACGAAGTACACCCGAAGCAAAAATTAGTGTAGGTTTTAGGTAGGATCGAGTACAATATGAAAATTCGTTTCTTATAGTTTCTGAACTCTCCATTTTTATTTCTTAAAAAAAAAAACGTTATTTTCGCAGGGGAAATTTTAGTGAAAATCGACCCGAAAAAAACATAAATTGGGGCGTCTAGGGGGGGGGGGTATTTTGATTCTAAAAGTGAAGACCCCAACCCGCGCCCACTTATAGTTTTTAAGTAATTTGTTGTTAAAGTTGCGAAATTCACCAAATATGTTGATGCAAATTGCATCGATTTTATCATCCAAAAGTGCGTGAAATAGATAAATGTGACTTAAATGTAAGCACTTTTAATGCACATGACCATTTTCTTTTAAGTAATATGATATTTTTGTTAATTTAACCACGATAAAGCACTTATAAAAGTAGTGAAGTAGTAAACATGCGAGGGTTGCAACTGAACACCGAAGTTGGTGCTGCCAGACGATTTATCATCACAATTTTTACTTGCGTCCACAGTATTTTTGCGTAGAATTACTTTCTGCGCAGGCGGCCTTCGGCCGCGCTTTAGGATTATAACCCTTACCAAATAGAATTCTCCTTTCGGTGTGCACCAACTGGGGCTACCGTCCCAGTGATGTAGCCTTGGGAAAGGATGAGGTAACTAGAATTCCCTTTCTGTGTGGTAAACCTGGGGCTGCCGCCCCAGTGATGTCTATTATGGTTACTGCTTACCCTTTTTTAGGTTCTTAAATTTTTTTTTTCAAATAGAGCCGCAGACGATCACGCGATTTTTTATTCCAAATTATTATTTTTTGAATATTTTATATTATAAAAAATATCGACGCAGGCGTAAATATTTGCTATTTTAATATTGTTTATTAAAAAATGCAAAACATATGGATTATTAATCGGCCCTATTGCGAATTTCACATGAAAAAATATTCCCAAAAATTATAAAGCAAAACAAAAACAATTTATTCACATGGAATTGGCGATCGGGCTGATTATTGTATTTTCCAAAGAAAAATATATACTTTTGTTAAATAAAATGGCCATAATTGAAATTTTTTTAAAGTATGTTATTTAAAAAGCACATATTCAAACCTACCCTTATGTTGTGGAGGTCATTATGAAATATAATTTGGGTATTTTACTGTCCCTAATTTTCGAACATGTGGTAGCACCCTTCTGTTAGGGTAATACAGCCATTTTGATTTGTTTGCTTGTTTACTTTGTTGAAGAAAAGTGGTGAAATGGTTAAACGCGTTTTATATTGTTTAAAAATAAAATAAAATACATTTATTGTAAACAAATCACATGTGAACATTGAAAAGATCGTGCATTTATGCAAGTTGTTGTTGTGGCGCCTACTAAGCCCCGTTCGGGGCGGTTCATCCATCAACGTTGTCGTCAATTTCAGCTAGGGGGAGGCCCAGGAAGTGTGCTACTTCCACAGGGGCTGTCCATAGGGACAGGGGCGTTAGCTGAGTGGGGTTCTCAGGGCATGTGAAGAGGTACCGGGAGTCATGTGGCGACTCTCCACATGCCGGGCATTGGTTGGGCACATCTTCGTTAATTCCGCTCAGGTAGCTGTTGAGCCTGCTGCAATAGCCAGAACGAAGTTGGGCTATTGTAGTGCGGGTCTCCCGATGCAGAAAAAGTTCTGTCCCGTCCACGTCCGGTGGTTGTGTGCCTAGAACGGCATTCACAGGGCGGGAGTCTACTTAACTTGAGACTGATTCCCTGTGAATGCCGTTCAGGGCCTGTCGGTAGGTTGACAGGTCCAGAGGTTGTTTGATATACCTCTGGACTTCGTCTGTCAGTTGTCCTCTGGGATGGCCACGTCTGTGGCTCCCAGCAAGGAACTGCTTGCGGAGCATTATGTTATGCTCCTTCACTGGGAGCATCTGGGCCTCGTCATGAAGGTGGTGTTGAGGCGTCATCAGGAGGCATCCTGTCGCAGTTCGTAAAGCCGTGTTTTGGCAGATCTGTAGCTTCATCCACTGTGTCCTGCTAGTCCCCGGCGACCATACGGGCGCTGCGTAGTTTAGAACCGGCCGGCCAATTCCCTTGTATGTTGCCAACAACGTTTCTTTATCTTTGCCCCAAGTGCTGCCGGCCAGCGACTTGAGGACATTGTTGCGGCTCTGCACTTTGTTGACAATTGCGGTTGTATGCGCCGAGAAGGAGAGCAGACTGTCGAAGGTAACTCCGAGGATTTTCGGGTTATTCACCGTCGGTATTGTTACGCCATCGACGTGAATACCCAGTGGCAGTCTGACCTCCTTCGTCCAGGTGGTGAAAAGGGTTGCCGAGGATTTCGCAGGGATAGAGCAACGCTCCTTGCAGTGAAGAAGCGAGAAAGTTCGGAGAGGTAACCGTTTACTTTCGAGCACAAGTCATCAATTCCATTCCCAGACGCCATGATCGAACAAACGTCAGCATACGAGACTATATTAACACCCTCTGGTGGCTGAGGAAGCTTTGAGATGTAATAATTAAATAGTAGCGGGGACAGGACACCACCCTGTGGTACCCCCTGTTTAATTTTACGTGGCTTGCTAGTTTTGTCTCTGAAAATTACTGACAGGGTTGATTTGCCGTGCAACTTCGTCTCTTGGACCGCAGCTATTAATATTCCATGCCTTCCCATAAAGATAGCTATCTCCTCGATCTTGCTCTGGAGTCCGTTACAGTTAAATTGTAGCATCTTCGTGCGCCTTGGGAGGCCGATTGTGATGTGTGGTGTTAAAGAGATGTGTTGCCTGCCGGCCCCCTGCTGTACGTGCTGCAAAAGGGGGTGCTGCCTTGTGATGGTTGGCGGCGTCGCGGGGGAGGGATGCGGCGGGGCAGCACAGCAGGGGCCCACATAGTTACTCGTCCAATCTCGCGTGTTGCGAAGTCCTGGGCACGCCCTAAAGTGGCACCAGCCGAGGCAAGAGTTGCACTTGACTGATGTCACGTTACGGTATATTCTGGACTGACAAACAGAGCAGATTGTCGGAGGGACTAGGAGTTGCCGGCGGCGGTGTGTGGTTGCTATTGTGTTTGTTTGTGTGTCTATTGTTGTGTTGTGTTGGGGTGTGTTGATTATGTGCTGCCCAGGCGGGTGGTGGTTTGCTGTGGAGGTGGTCCGGTTCGCACAGCATGGGGCCACGAACGACGTGATCCTTTGCCGGTGCGTACGCAGGCCCGAGCAGTTACGGAGGTGACTCCACCCGCCACAGGCGTTGCACCTGACCGAGGTGGAGTGTGTATGCAGTCGTCTCTGGCATACGCAGCAGGTGTAGGTTTCTGGCCCTGCGTTTCACTCTATGCCAGCCCTGAGCAGAAGGGTGCGAAGAAGGTGTAGCCCTAGGATCGAACAACGTTTGATGGATTTCGCCGACCTAAACGGGGTTAGATCGCCGAAACAACAGCCCTTGGTCGGGTGAAACCCGAGTCATTCCGGTACGTAGAACCGGCTGTCGTGGGAATGCAAGTTCAAGTGATAGCTGCACTTTTTATATGAAAATTTGCTAATGGAAGTGCAAAAATTTTTAACAACAAATTACTTAAATACTAGTATTAAAAAAGTGAAATAAGGGAGAATTTATGTAAACATATCTTTTTCTTAGCATCCTCGTTAAGTTTCATGAGACAATTCGTTATATTTTTGCTAAAACACACACATGTCGACGTACACTACAGTCAACCCTTTTCGTACTTGAGCTTGAGTATTTTTTATCCGATCTTAAAAGCCAAACATGTTTTGAAAATGGGAATTTATAGACTTTTAATGTGGTGTATAAAAATCAAGGAATGAAACCGATTCAAAATAACGTTCCGGTTTGGGTTTCGGTTTTGCCAGGTGTTTCGGTTTCGGTTTTGGTTTCGTTCTTCAAAATTTATTTCGGTTTTGTTTTCGGTTTCGTTCCGGTTTCGGTTTTTCCCAGAAATTTTGTTGATATTATTTAAATCACAATGTCTTAAACGTTGAGGAAAGAATATCGAAAATTACAGTTCACTGATGATATCAACACTAGGTTCTTTCCCTAACAATCCGGACCGGATTTGGTAATTAGAGAATAAGAGAAACATTTTCTTTCAAAAATGGAACAAAGTTCAGAAGTACGGAAACGCAAAAACCCACATTTCGTGCCCACAAGTCGAGAAACAGCTGATTCACGTTGTTCTTGTTTTTGTCACTTATACCATGTTCTGACCGACATCGGAAACATGTTTTCGTTGCTAAAACTGGTTTTCGACCTGAAACTTGTGTTTTCGTCCATATAAAATCTGTTAAACGAAAACCAGTTTTCGCTGAAAACTACTTGAAAACTCACTTTCCACTCATTCCAATCGGAGTCTTCACTAGTTTTTTCGATTATTTATCGAAGTGGAAGTCATATTTTATCATCTTTAATACGCCATTTCGGATTTATTGTTAATTGCCTGGCCAAAGCAAAATAAGAATGAAAGTTAAAGGTTGTAAATGAAAAGAAAATGAAGGAAAAATGTTTTGGTTGTCGGTCAGAACATGGTATTAAATGCACACACTGGGATATTGAATTTTGGTTTCACAAATTTGATTTTAAGTACATAGATTGAAAATACATCAACAGGCCATTCACTTTTCCTTAAAATCACCAAGTAAATGCAAGCAACATGTAAACACAATACAGCTGATATGCACTTTGACACTTTATCCATTTTTACTCGGAGAAAAATTCCGGGCTGTTTCGGGCAGGAAGAAGAATACACTTACGATCGAATACGCTCGAATTTTCGCTCTCTTTTACCCATTTTGTTGAGTACAGGAATGATTTCTGGGCTATTTTGGGCACACGCGGGATCTCGCATTGCGTACGGGAAAGAAACTACTTAAATATAATTAATCGA